AATTAATTAATTACTAAAAGAAAAATCAGTGAGTGAATACACTTCCGGTCGTACCGTTCTTACCTTCCGCTTTTCTTCCGGATGTGCACATTATTGTGGCTGTTTGGAGCGGTGTGTCCGCTCCAGTCAGTTGCAGTGCTACAAAATGAAGGTCGTTACTTGGAACATAAACGGCATTAGGGCCTTCAGAGGCGGCATAAAAAAGGTTCTTGATTCCCTGGACGCAGATGTTATTTGTATTCAGGAGACAAAAGTGACGCGTAAGTGATTAGCAATAGCTGGTTTGAAAACGCGGGAGCTGTCATCGTGCAAGGCGCCACAGTTAGAATGAAACTGTATGAAAAATAAAAACGTTAACCCCTAATTTCTCCTCCACAGGAGACTTGCTAGATGAAAGGATTGCTATTGTTGACGGATACAACTCCTATTTCAGCTACAGCCGAGGGCGCAGTGGCTACTCAGGTTCAATACAAAGTTATATAACAGTTCATTTTGCGTCCGTGAGCCTTGAAAGTGTTTGTTTTTTTCGTGTATTATCACCCAGTTATATTAAGTGTCCACATTCAAGAAAGTGCAGTCTTCTAAAATATAATGCCACATTTATACTTTACTGAAAAGTTAAAAATGTCCTCGTAAAACTGCATTACACCCAATTCACCTCACATTGCCGCTGTGCACAGGTGTTGCCACCTACTGTAAGGATAGGGGCACTCCATTTGCTGCTGAGGAGGGCCTCACAGGTCTGCTGGTCAACCACAAAGATGCTGTTGGATGCTATGGTGACCACACTGAGTTTTCAAGTGAGGAGTTGCAGCTGTTGGACAATGAAGGCCGTGCTGTAATCACACAACACAAAATAAAGTGAGAGGAAATATCATATGTTAAGGCTCCTGTTTTAAGTGTGCTGCATGGCATATTTATCTGTTTACATGTGGCACTTGAAAACAAATAATCAGCAATTTTTATGTTTGCTTCTCAGTTAGTGGGGGAATCCCACTATGTGCTTGCCTTTTATTGACTGAGTTTTATTTTATCCCAACAGATGTCAGGATAAAGAGAAAACCCTTACTGTTATTAACGTATATTGTCCGAGGGCTGACCCAGAAAAGCCAGAGCGAAAGCGGTTCAAACTACAGTTCTACAACTTACTTCAGAGTCGAGCTGAAGCTGTACTGAAAGATGGAAGGTGAGAAATTCATAATGTTTCACTGGCTGAGCAAAACACTGTCGTTACAAGAGATGCAGGTGTATCCTGGTTTCGCCACAGATGTTTTTCTAAGGCACTGTGCTAATTTTGAACAACGCAGCTCTTCCAGTAAATCATTACGTCTTTGAGTTTTGGCAGTGGGCCACATGTTTTGCTGTCTGTAAAATAAGGCCAAACACTATCTGGTGTTTACAATTTTATTGAATTGTAAGTTAGTACAAATAAAACAGTATATTAGAAAATAGCTGCTTCTGTGTTCATGGTTACATAGCTTTAATTTAATAACATTTATATATATTCTGGTAAAATCTCAATTCTTGGACAGCGATGATGATGATGAGAAATATTTTATTTATCACACATTTGAGAAATTATTTAAAATTGTTCTTTAAATTCTACAAATGTATATAGATAATGAGTTAATCTTTTTTATGTTCTGTTTTCCAGCCATGTGATTGTTTTAGGAGACATAAATACATCTCATAGACCAATAGATCACTGTGACCCTAGTGAAATTGTAAGTAAAATACTAATATAACATATATGTGTATGTGTATATATATGTGTGTGTGTGTATATGTATGTGTGTGTGTGTATGTATGTGTGTGTGTGTATATATATAATATATATACATATAAGATGTATATTTTCGGCGGGGGGACCGTGGCTCAGCCACATCTGTAACCGGAACGTCGCCGGTTCTATCCCCAGGCTCTCTGTCCTGGTCGTTGTGTCCTTGGGCAAGACACTTTACCCTCCCACCTACTGGTGTTGGCCAGAGGGGCCGATGGCGCGATATGGCAGCCTCGCTTCTGTCAGTCTGCCCCAGGGCAGCTGTGGCTACAACTGTAGCTGCCTCACACCAGTGTGTGAATGTGAGAGTGAATGAATAGTGGAATTGTAAAGCGCTTTGGGTGCCTTGAAAAGCACTATATAAATCCAATCTATATATCAATCTATATATGTGTCTAATATGTATATATATGTGTGTATATAATATGTCTATATATAATATGTATATATACATATAATATGTGTATATGTATATATGAGCGACACCGCACACTCTACATGTATGTATTTAGTAGTATATAGGCTTTTTAAATATCTAGAATCCTGTGAAAAACTAAGAACAGCCTTACTGCTTCCATAGGATTTAAGAGGGGGAATAGCAGCCAGCTTCTTGAACAATGATTAATCAGAAGGTTCGTCCTGTTCTATCAAAGCACATGTTGTGGAACTTTTTTCGTCTGGGGCCTTCAGGTGTTTACACAATGGCTCAACTTTCCCAGGAATGGCCATTCCAGTAAATTCAATCGCTTGTAAAGCTCAAAGAATTTGGAAAAACCCACGAGCGACACTCTACAGGCTTTAGTTGGGATGTTAAAATTCATGACAGTAGAATTAGAAGAAGACTGAACAAGTGTGTCTTTTTTGGAAGAGTTATAGGAGAAATCCTATTCTCTCTCTAAAAAAAATAACTTAACAGCACAACATGGGTTTATGTAATAGTTCTGAGCAAAGTATAAGGCTTCTGAAACAGTGTCCTTCAACACCATATGTGGAGAAAACCAAATACAGCGTATCAGCAAAAACACGTCACGCCAGGTGTCATCAGTGTGGTGGTGGAGGGGTGATGATTTGGGCTTTTTAGCAGCCATAGAATCTGTGCACCTGTCATTGAGTTGCCATGAACTCCTCTCTGTATACCAGTGTATGCCAGAGTCAAATGCAAGGCCACACATCTGACAGCTAAAGCTTGGCAGAAATTGGGGCATGTAACAGGGCTGTGATCCCAAGCATAGCAACAAATTTACAACATAATGGCTGAAAAAGAAAGAAAATTGAGCCATTTCAGTGGCCCAAAGTCCAGACCTCAACCTAATTGAATTGCTGTGGTGTGATTTTTAACACAGTTCTGCATGAGAGAATGCTCACAAACCTCAATGAATTAAAGCAATACTGTAAATATGAGTGGGCCAAAATTCCTCTACAACAGTGTGAGAGACTAATAAAGCCATACATGAAAGAATTATTTCAAGTTATTGCTGCCAAAGGTGGTTCTGTTGCTATTATTTCATGGGGTTTACATTTTCATTACTGTATTAAATTACACAAAAACAGGAAGTGGGGAAACCCCTCCCCCAAACCTTATATGCTACATGAAAAATGACTTCTACCTACAGCTTCCTATTTAATGAACAGACACAGGAGTGGGATCTGTCTCAGCAAGAAAGCAATTATCAACAAGTGACCTTAATGTAGAGGATTGAAATAATATTACATAAAATGACAGATGTTCCTACATTATTATCCATAATAATGAAACTTTCATTATTTAGGACGATTTTGGCGAAAACCCTGGGAGGAAATGGCTGAATGGCTTTTTGTACAGTGACAAACAGGAAGAAGGGAGCGATGAGGAGGAACATGACAAAGAATGCGAGGAAACCGATCCACTCCACGGTGGGAAATTTGTGGATACCTTTCGCTTTTTCCACCCAACTCGCATCAACGCCTTTACATGCTGGTCTACTCTCACTGGAGCTCGGCAAACCAACTATGGAACACGCATTGACTACATATTTGCTGACTGCCAGCTTGCCAAGGAGCAGTTTGTGGGAGCCGACATCATGCCAGAGGTGGAGGGTTCAGACCACTGCCCTGTCTGGGGGCAGCTGAGCTGTTCACTTATTTCTAGCCCAAAGCCTCCCCCCTTCTGTACTCGCTACCTGCCAGAGTTTGCAGGTAAACAGCAGAAACTCTCACGCTTCCTCGTTAAGGTGGACCAAAAATCAGCCCAGTCTGAGCAGAAAAATGCTTTGCCTGGTTCTCAAGAAGAGGAGGAAAGGAGAGAAAATTTAAATCCTTCTGGAGCTGCAAACATCTCTGTTAAAAAACGTTCATTGACATCTGACTTGGTTCCCCCAAAGGGAAAAAAGACTAAGACGGTAAATGCTTCTTCAAAGCCTAAGGGTAACCTCCTTGCCTTTTTTAAATCCAAAACCAAAAACGTTAACCAGTGTGAAAAACCACTAAATCTGGATGAAGCTGCCAAACCACCCATAACCGAAGAAGTGTTCTCTGTCACAGACACCAAATCTGAAAATCCTGAGCTTATCTCTGACGGTTCATCACAGCAGTGCTCCACAGCTGATACTGACCAACATATGAACACAAAACATTCAATCCCTCAGCCCACTGTAATGCAGTCAGATGCAAAGAAAGGGACATCGTCAGTGTTTTGGAAGTCGGTGCTTCATGGACCACCTGCCCCACCGTGCTGTAAGGTCCACGAAGAACCATGTGTTCTTCGTACTGTAAAAAAGGAGGGGCCAAACATGGGCAAACAGTTTTTTGTGTGTGCACGTCCTCAGGGACATGCGTCCAACCCTGAGGCTCGATGCAATTTCTTTGCATGGGTTGGCAAAGCAAAGTGACATGTTTACATTAAGGTCCATCAGTTTCAGCAACAATTGTTTTAACATTTGTCATAGTTGTATGTTGTAGTTGTTGTATTTTTCTTTTTCATATCAAAATAATAAAACACAGTAGTTTTATATTACTTTGAATTTGGTTCCATTTGTTCTAAATGCTGAAATAAGTGAGCAGATTAGATTTGTTGATCAA